TCTAAGTGGTTCACAGAGTCAGTATATTGCCCCCAACAATTTGGGTCCTCATTTTACCCACCTCGGAAGGATGGAAGGCTGAGTCAACCTTGAGCCTGGTGGGATTTGAACTGCCAAATTGCAGGCAGCTGGCAGTCAGCAGAAATAGCCTGCAGTACTGCACTCTAACCACTACGCCACTGTGCTCATAAATTAGAAATACCTAATTTAACAGGAAAAGAATGATTCAACTATGCCAGATTGAGCTAATTTCATACATTTCTATTAAAACTGATTCTAATGATAAAAAGAATGGCCAGTGTTTTGAGGATATTGGTCCTTCAAACTCAGGCGTGCATAGCCTTGATTCAGCAGTCAAATGTCTGGTTTTTCCTGTTTCTACGGAAACTTTTAATTAAGAATAGAGCTGGAATTTTTTGGAAGTCTTCTAGTCCAACTCTCTGCTCCAGCAGAAGACCCTGGCCTATATCATTTCAGACAAGTGCTTGTCCAGTCTCTTCTTTAAAATTCCCAGTGATGAAGCACCCACAACTTTGGAAGGCACGCAATTCCACTGGTTCATTTTCCTCACTGTTAGGAACTTTCTCCTTAACTCTAGGTTGCTTCTCTCCTTGATTAGTTTCTATCCATTGTTTCTTGTCCTGCCTTCTGGTGTTTTGGAAAATAAGTTGACTTCCTCTTCTTTGTGGCAACCCCTCAAATACTGGAAGGCTGCTATCATATCACCCCTAGTCCTTCTTTTCTCCAGACTAGCCATACCCAAAGCCTGCAACCATTCTTCATAGGCTGTAGTCTTCAGGCCTTTAATTATCTTAGTTGCTCTTCTCTGCCCTTTTTCCAAAGTCTCAACATCTTTTTGGGAATGTGGCGACCAAAACTCGATGCAGCATTCTAGATGTGGTCTTACGTTCTTGTTAATTCCTCAGACAAGAACAACATCACTACCAACAAGGTTCATTATCTAGTCTGGCAGCTGTTCAAACCAGGAGAAGCTGTCAGAATTTGAACTGTTACCACCCCTCCATACCCATCTCTCTGGAGGGATGGCCCTCCCATTAAGGTGATGCCCCAGGGAAAGGCGTTGATGTTTGAGCTCCTTTGCTGCTTTGAAATCGGAATCAGGATGGGGTGGTATCCTTTGCTCTAAGCAACAAAACATCTTGGGCTGATTTTATCAAGATACGCATTATTAGCTCCTTCCCCAGTTTTATCCTCTTACCTTTCCAATATATAATATTCAAGATGGCTAGCGGCCTTCTCAGTCGCTTCACCTAAACTTGAATTCAGAAGGCCAAGTTGATGTTCTCTCTGTTGATTTTCGCCCCGGTGGCTTCAGACATTCCTTTTTTTTTTAACACTCCATGGACAATAATTTTATTTTATTTTTTAGAAATTGTTATTGTTTGCTTTTTGCCCATTTTAAGGTGTTTTTGGAACTCTCCTTTGCATTTTTAGAAATGAATTTTACATACATGGCTTGTATGTAAACAAAAATGAATTTTTGTTCCTTGCCTTTTAAGTATTTTAAACTCAGTACCATGTTCTAATTTTTGGTAATTGGATATGCTTGATTAATTGTCCCTGAACTCTGAAATGAAACAGAGTCAGGCTTTGCAAATTCCTGGAGAGATAAACTAGGTCAGGAAATCAAAACATCCTGGAAGAAGACCGAAGAAAGCTACTTTTGTACCATTGCCAAAAAAAGGGGAGGGGAGGAACCACCATTGCCTAGAAGACGGATCCAGTGGTAGAATTCAAAATTTTTTACTACCGGTTCTGTGGGCGTGGATTGGTGGGCATAGTGTGGTGGGTGTGGCAGTGGAAGGATATTGTAAAATCTCCATTCCCTCCCCACTTCTGGGGGAAGGTTACTGAAAAATCCCCATTCCTTCCCCACCCCACTAACCTACTTTCCAGCTCCCTTCTCCTGTGCAGGGCAACCAAAGAAGACCCAGCCGATCAGCTGGGACTCAATGGAAGGCAGAGAATAGATGGGGGTGGGGCCAGTCAGAGGTGGCATTTGCCGGTTCTCCAAACTACTCAAAATTTCCGCTACCGGTTCTCCAGAACTAGTCAGAACCTGCTGAATACCAGCTCTGGATGGATCTGATCTTAAAGCAAGGATCGTGTAAACTCAGATGAGATTTTTCTTTTTAATAATAATTTTTACTGTTGTAATCGGCCTTGAACAAAGCACACACATTGAAACAGCAAGGTAGAAATCTTTTGAAGGATACAGGGTGGTGTGTTAACCCAATAATATTCATATCTTGTTAGCAGTAGGGGGTTTCTGTTTAACTTTAATTGAATTGAGTCATGGGCCCAGTGCTATAAACGCATCTTTTATTATACAGGTAGTCCTCAAGTTACAACAGTTCATTTAGTGACCATTCAAAGTTACAACGACACTGAAAAAAAGTGACTTATGACCGTTTTTCACACTTACAACCATTGCAGCAACGGTAGTAAAATGGGGCAAAATTCATTTCATGAATGTCTCCTTAGCAACAGAAATTCTGGACTCAGAGGTGGTGATACGTCAAGAACTACCTCTTTTTTTATTATATTGCATTTAATTCAATTTGCAAAGGTGTGGCTTACACCACTTAAGCTGTTTGCAACATCAGTGGCCTATTAATTTAGCAAAATAAATAATTCCAGTAATACATGCTGAAAATTACCCATCGGAATTGATATGATATGTATCCTATAAAGCAACTGCAGCTATTCACAGTGCTCTTTGCTGATTGGCTTCCAAAGCCAATTCCTGTTTGGGAAAACACTAATAAGGAAGAGAGTTGGATTTCTAAATCCACTGTAGGAAGTTAGCACCCACCCCTCTCCTAGAGAAATGAAATATTCTAGGAAAAATTAAAAAGGCAGAATATTTCCCCTAAAAGAGAAGTAGACTCAGAGAGGCAGAAACTCACCCCCACCTCTTTTGTTAATAGGCCATTAAGCCCTGGGTCAGTCTATTCTACATAACAAAGATCTACCTCCTTGAGGCAGAGCCATTTCATTGCCCTTCATTGCACCACCCACCGAGTTTCCACCAAACTTAGCACACAGACAACCTACAAAGCTCGCTGTGACCTCTGACAGCAACCAATCAGAATACTCTTCCTGCGCCCCAGGCAGTTCAAGGCCCAGAAAAGGCATAAAACCCAGGGGCTCTCAGCATCTCTTCCCTTTTCTTTGCCCAAGAGCTCCAAGGCATGTGGTCCTGTCCACCATTAAACCTTCTTTCCAAGCAATTTCCATGATTCCAGTGCTTTTTCCCCACTTGGAACTGAACCCAGAAGGATTATTTCTTCCAACACCACATTCATTCCTCTCAGACTCTGATCAGTAGATAGGCAGGTGCTCACCTCCTGAGAGAAAACTTGGTATTTTCTCAGAAAGGTGAGGCAAAGCATACCAGGCAGGACTGGTTTAAATTTGTAGAAGACTAGCTCCTTCCTTGCAGAGCTGTCCTGACTGGTGCAATGTGGACATCCAGGAATCTCTGCTATGCTGTCTCCCCAGCCTTATGTCCAACCTGACAAGTTAAACCTGCCCTTTGTGGATTCAAGAATCAGAGCTCAGGGAGAGTCACTCCCTGATCAGAGATATTTTCCCAGTAGAGTTTCAGTTGTTTGATATTCTTTCCATCTGTCCCTTGTTTTATTCCGACCAAGGCGCAAAGAAATTGAAAAATATTTTAATTCATAATTTCAGTTTGGAAAGCAAAAGGGCTGTGCAGAATCAAACATGGGCTGCACTAGGCCCTAGTAATGTGGCCTCACAAGATTGTAAAATTGTTAACATTATGTGACATCCTTATATTAAGTGTATTATACATTTTATTTATGGACCAAGACAATTCCTCTTCATTCAGTGTGGCCTAGGCATGCCGAAAGGTTGGACACCCATGGGGCAGACTAGTTCCTCTTCTGAATTCTATCTTTTCTGAAGCTTCTCCTCCTCCTGCACTTGCTCTTTCTCCTTCTTCTCTTTTTCCTTTTCCTCCTTCTCCTCCATCTCCTTCTCCTTCTTCTCCTTCTTCTCCCTTCCTCCTCTTCTCCCTTCTGCTTTTACTGCTCCTTCTCCTTCTCTCAACTCACTTAGCACTAAATATGTTGATTGCTCTTTATCATGAATGATTTGGACCATAAATATCTCTAGCATTCCAGGTGTCAGCTAACTCAGTCACTAGTGAGGACTTCTGGAACCTGAATGTCAACACCAGCCTTGTCCATCTTTGGACCATATGGAAGATATTCCTCTAGGCTTCAGAACTGGGAAGCAGAACTTTCCTTGAAAATCTGGGGACTGGATTCCCTAAATTGCTTGCAGGTTCATTCTGCAGGTCAGATAAGATACAATATATATTGTTGCAGGTCTTTTTTCTCCAAGCGTTCAATATTAATTCCTTCCATCTTTCAAGAATCTTTTGGACAGGTCAAAAGCAGAAAGAGTAGTTACGTCAATGCACCTGTTGGCCTGGGGACAAATGCATTTTCAAAATACCTTCTTTTTACTTTGCACGCTGCCTCCTCCTTACACTTCTCACTTGTGCAAACTTTGAAGCATTTAAAGCAATACAAAGACTGGGAGTATTTAGGAAGTTGCTGGCTTAAAATACATGTTTTCAAAAAGTAGCTAAGCATATCAGCAGTGCTATCTGGTGTACCGCAGAAAACACAAAAAACTGTATGTATCAACATATATACAGATGTACATGCCATGGAACACCTGGACACAAATAGCTTGTTAGCTAACTGGCAAACTTGTTAGCTAACTGGCAAACCAGAGCATATTAACATTTTATTAAGTGCAGATGTGGAAGGTATTAAAGAAGCTGGCTTGTGCAAATGCCCTTTACTCCAAAGAAGGCGAAAGAATTGAGAAAAGCAGTGATTTTTTTTTTCCCCTTTACATAGAAAATCATTATGTCTGTTTGTTTGCTTCCCTTCTGCAGAATTTGAGGACTGGTATCCAAGAAGCCATTCCTGGAAAACATGGAAGGAAAGATATCTCCCTTTGTTGTGGGACTAATAGTGATGGGCAATATTATTATTATGGTAAGAGACCTACAAGCAATACCGTAATGTCTCTCAGCAATGGGAAAATTCCTGGGTTTGACTTGGGGATCTGAAAAATAAAATGGGGAATAGAATGACCTAGGTCATGTTTCTGATTTTTAAAAATGTCTTTGGAACGTTGTCTGTTGACCATCGTTCACTGTATTTTGTTGAATGAATCATCATTGGCCACATTCCCATTTAACCACCATGGTGGGGTTCATATAACATGCAAGATGCACAATTTGAGCCCCCCCCCCCAAAAAAATTGCACAGAACCCTGAAAAGGTGTAGGTATAGCACCGAGAAATTACAAAAGGAAGCTGAACTAAAATCACTCCCCTTGGACATGCTCAATAACAAAGAATCTGGTTTGATTTCTGGTAGTTTGGTGGCTAACAACCTTCCTCTGTTTCTACAGCTTGCAGGGCTGGCACTTTGTGCTGAGTCAATTTGGGTAACAGCTGATCCCTATAAAGTTTACCCCATCTTGGGGGTCTCTGGCAAAGATGATGTCTACGCAGGCGCCTGGATCTCCATTTTCACTGGGTTTTGCTTCTTCTGCGTTTGCGTCTTTGGCATCATCAGCCTTGTGAAAAACAACCGCCTCATGGTGTTGTTGGTGAGTACAGTAACAAGAAGAATCAGACTTCTCTAAACTCTACGTTTTCTCAACTTAACTCTGGCTAGCGATGGGAAAAAGCCAGGTCAATATAAGTAGTCCTTGACTTACCGTGATAATTGAGTCCAACATTTTAATGACTGAGCAAGGGAGTTGTAAGTTTTGCCCCATGCACGACTTTTGCTGCAGTTGTTCAGTGAATCACTGTGGTTGTTAAATGAGTCACAATGTCATTAAGTGTAGAGAAGTGTGAAATTCAGTGTAGAGAAAAGTAAAGTCCTACACTTAGGCAAGGCAAAATCAAAAGTGCACATATAATTGACTGAGTGAAACCAGGCTCAATAGCAGTAACTGTGAGAGGGATCTTGGAGTCTTAGTGGACAACCAGCTAAATATGAGCCAGCAGTGTGCAGCAGCAGCCAAAAAAGCTAATGCAATCCTAAGTTGCATTAACAGAGGGATATAATCGAGATCAAGTGAGGAACTAATACCACTCTATAAAGCCTTAGTAAGACCACACCTAGAGTCCTGCATCCAGTTTTGGTCACCACACTATAAAAATGATGTTGAGACTCTAGAAAAAGTACAGAAAAGAGTAACCAGGATGATGAGGGGACTGGAGACCAAAGCATACGAAGAACGGTTATAGGAACTGGGCTTGGCTAATCTAGTGAAGGACCAGGGGAGACATGATAGCAGTCTTCCAATATTTGAGGGGCTGCCACAGAGAGGAGGGGGTCAAGCTATTTTCTAAAGCACCCGAAGGCCAGACAAGGAACAATGGATGGAAACTGATCAAGGAGAGATTTAACCTGGAAATAAGGAGAAACGTTCTGACAGTGAGAACAATCAACCAATGGAACAGAAGTTGCCCTTGGAAGTTGTGGGAACGCCATCACTCGAGACCTTCAAGAAGAGATTGGACTGCCATTTGTCAGAAATGGTGTAGGGTCTCCCGCTTGGGCAGGGGGTTGGACTAGATGACCTCTAAGATCCCTTCCAACTCTGATTATCTGTTATCTGTTAAGCCAGCTGGGAAGTTTACAAAGGGTGATCATATGACCCTGGGAAAGTTCAACTGTCATAAATACATGAAAATTGCTAAGCACCTGATTTTTGATCACCTGACCATGGGGCTGCTGCAATGAGCATGTGACAAACAGGCATAAATCACTTTTTTCAATGCCATTGTAACTTCAAATGAATGGTTGTTAAGTAAGGACTATCTGTAGTGCTTTCTCTTTTCTACGGGAAGAGATGAAGGTCAGTGCAAGTGAAGCTAACCAAGACAAAGTAGAAATGACTTGGAATATAGAATTGTATAGCTCCTGGTTTGTGATTCCATTGTTGTCTCTAGTCAAAAAAAGTACTTGTATTTTTCTAAGAATCTATCTGATCAGAGAGTTTTTTCTGGTGAGACCGGTCTATCAGGGCAACCTGGTCTACCCAATTATGGGACGGAGCATACTGCTTCCGCTTTCGCCTTTCAGCCCCAATCCAGGAGCCTCCGCAGGCAGCCAACTTTCACGACAATTTTTTGTGTCGAATTTATGTTTACTTTTATTACCCTTTATTTCTTTGTTGGTAAACATAAATTCAATACCTGATCAGAGCAAAAACACCAAAAGCACATTAGCAATTTAGCTTGTAATCCAGTACATTTCGGTCTTAGCTGTTCCTCTCCAGCAAATGGAATGCACATACTGTCTCCATCAGTTAAAATGGTGTAAATAATGAACATTCATCAAAATCTCTTCTAATGGATTTGCTTATCCCTCTTTGAAAGTCATGCCATCATCATGTCCAACTAGAGCATGGCACATCATCAGCAATAGCAACAAACACCTGCGTTATCAACAAATCAAAGGATACAATAATTATTAATATAGTATTGACATTGTACATCATATATACAATGAAATTGGTTTAGCCTCTCTGGTACGATCCATAACAGAAAATACAAAACTACATAAATAGTATAGAGAATAATCTCTATACAAGTAATTGCGGGGGAAAAGACTAATCATAAGTTTCCTTATGTATGTGGAGTGATTGTGATTGTGTTTAAGAGTCTGACAGCCATGAGTAGAAGCTGTTTTTAAACCTGTTTGTCCGGCTGGCTATGCTTTGATGTCTTCTGCCCAATGGTAGAATTATCTCTAATTAATTATCTCTAATCCATGGTGAATATCCTGGGGGAAAATGTCTCCAAGTATGTATTTTTTTTTCTTCAAATTGAATCTTATTCTCTATTTTCTTATTTTTCAGTACCTGGTACTGATCCTGGTTGTCTACTTATTTGAATGTGCCTCTTGCATCAGCTCCTACACACATCGTGATTATGTAAGTACAGGGTGCAAATTCTTCCCAGGTTGGTCTTCTAAAAGCAAGGTTTTGGCTCACTCCACTTGGACAGAAGTACACAGTCTTTCCCAATGTCTGCTTATATCATGGTGAATGATCCATCCAAAACATAATTCAGTCTGGAAATTTGAATGAAGCTTCATTTGTGTCCTTTGTCAGCCCCATTATTCTGATCAACTTGGTAGGCTTGTATAGTTTATAATATGGGAATAGTATATAATTGGTGAATTTCTTTGAACTGTTGGCTCTTCAAAAACTTTCATGATAACCAAAGCTTGGAGAAAGCTTATACATTTCTGTTCACAAATAGACAAGAAAAGGCCATAATTGCTTATTATAAGAATATGGATCCTTTGACCCTACAATTCACATCAGTTCAATTCATACAGCTTTCACTTCTGTTGCTGAATTGGCATAAGATAGTACTAACTGATTTATGGAGGTGGGGGAATCATTTTGCCTCATTCTAAAAGACCAAAACAATCTAGAAACATTTGGGCCTTTCTTCTCTTTTTTGAATGGAGTTTGTTTTCCCTTTAAAAAGAAAACTCAGAATTGCTGTGCAGAAAGAAATGTATTTGGAAATGTAGAAATCTGTTTGCATATTTTTATGTAAGCTGAAACTTTGGAAGTGAAATGTTTGTGTACCTGGGCTTGGGGAATGTAGCTGACCAACATTCTCTCCTTCTTCCCTACCCCAGGTAGTATCAAATTCCAAACTGGTAACCAAGCAGATGCTGGGCTTCTATACATCTGATACACCCCAAGGCCGGGAACTCACCCGGATGTGGGACCGTTTCATGATGGAGGTACATATCATTGTCCAGCCTGTGAGAACGCCCTTGCCTTGTGTCCTTCACCCAGACATAGCTCCAGAATGTATACATGTAGGGACTGTGAATGCAATGCAACTTTTCTGCCAAGCCGAGTCAAAATGCTAGTGACTGAGAGCTGAACTCTCTGGTTTTTCTTTGAAGACGTTTGAAGCTCTGAAGAAGCTTCTTGGATGAGAAGAGAAATGTCTTCAAAGAAAAACCAAGAAAGTCCACTTGCCTCTTGAAAAAGCACCTTTGGGACAACCTGGACCTGGACAACTCCGTAGACATTTAGTGATTGGGAACTTTGAAGATAGG